GAGGAGAGGAGAGGAGAGGAGAGGAGAGGAGAGGAGAGGAGAGAAGGCTGGAGGGATGGCTCAGTGGTTAAGAACGCTTTCTGCTCTTAGGGAGGACCTGGGTTGGATTTTCACAGAGCAGCTCACAATCACCTGTAACTCTAGTTCCTAGGGTCTGATGCCCCTCCTGGCCTCCACAGCTCTTACACGCACATGGTGCACATAAACTCCCATAGGCACACACATAAAAATAAACAAATAAAATAAAAATTCATGAAACTTAAGTCACCTCAGCAATTTCCTAGCTTTTCCTTAGCCATCATCTACCTTTAACTCCTAAAACTAAAACGCATGCTTAAATAAGTTTATAGTTGTCTTCCTAAAGAAGTACCATTGTAAAAGCGAGTTGCTTGCCAAAGTTCACTTCCCCTGCCCTGAGACTCTGTATACTGGTAAATCAATAAAGGGTCACTGGTATCTACAAGTCCTGGAAAGAGAAGAACCATGGGAGTTAATGGGTAAGGGGTCATTCCCAGTCACCCGAGAGATAACTCGCCCATAACAATATCATAGGTTCCCAAATGTCCAATGTTTCAGCAAAAGACAATTGCTGGAATTTGGGGTGCAGCTAGAAATTTAAAATAGAACACTGAGAACAACCAAGAAGCCTGTATCCCTTGGACACACCACTTTCCTGGGCCCCTAGGAGGGTTTCTCCACCCACTTTCCTAGGTCAGGTCCTAGTTTAGAGCAAGCAATCAAGACCAGGGACACAGCTTGGTGGTACAGTGTCGGCCTACCAATGTAAGGGCCCTGGGTTCAATCCCCAACACTGGAAGAGGGGTAGGGATACAGAATAGGTGATGATTCTGGGTCTGCCAGTATTGACAGGGAGACAAGACCCAACTGTTTTAGAGTTCTGGAAAATACGAAAATGGACAAACACTGTCGCTGGCCTGATGCTAGCTAAGGTCTAATAGAGATAATGTAGGTGTGGTAGGAAGAGTGTAAGGAAGCAAGAAGACAGGGGACAAGAGGAGATAACCTAGTCTAAAGTATTTCACTGGGAATTAGGCACATGGATGGCTCAGTGGTAGAGTACTTGTCTATCTGATTCCCCAATACCTCCAAAAAAGTGGGAGATAGATCAGACAGTAAGTGACTTTGCTGTGTATGCATGAAGACCTGAGTTTGCATCCCTACCTCCCAGGTAAAGAGCATGGTTAGGGAAGGCATCTGTAATCCCAGCTCTGGGGAGGTGGAGACAGGAGGATCGCTGGGACTTGTTGGACAGCCAGTCTAGCTGAATTGGTGAGCTCCAGGTTCAAGTGAGAGCTCGTCTCTCAACAAGTCAAGTGGACCCACTCAGGGACATTGCAGAGCGGGAAAGAACGTTTCGAGCCAGAGGCTAGGAGGAGCGCTGTGAAATGCTGTCTCCTGGACATGAGATGGCAACTGTGCCCATGAACCACACAAGGTCAAGGCAGCAAGATCAGTCAATATTCCAACAGGCTCAGTGGATCATTAACAAAGGAGAGAACACGAGGCAGGGCAAGGAATGTACTAGAGGCACCTGCAGGGAACAGGAGGCAGGAGTTGAGGGTTCTTGGGGAAATAGGGAGTCCATATAATCAAGATGCACTGTCTATACGTATGAAATTGTCAAAGAATATATATGTATATTTGTATTTTCGAGACAGGATCACACTATGTAGCTCTGTCTGTCCTGAAACTCACTATGTAGACCACGTTGGCCTCCAACTCACAGAGATACACCTTCCTCTGCCTCCCAAGTGTTGGAACTAAAGGCATATGTGACTATTATGCCTGATTAAAGATATTAAAAAGTAAGATAATGGAGAGGCAAAATAGCTCATTGGTAAAGGCACGTGCAGCCTGGCCGGGCAACCTTTGTGTAAGTCAGGATCTGGAACCGACTCCTGTAAGTTGTCCTCTGACTCCCATGTGTGAGCTCACACACATAAAAAGTAAAAAGTAGGGGGCTGGAGAGATGGCTCAGTGGTTAAGAGCATTGCCTGCTCTTCCAAAGGTCCTGAGTTCAATTCCCAGCAACCACATGGTGGCTCACAACCATCTGTATTGGGGTCTGGTGCCTTCTTCTGGCCTGCAGGCATACAGACAGAATATTGTATACATAATAAATAAATAATTTTAAAAAAGTAAAAAGTAGCCGGGCAGTGGTGGCTCACGCCTTTAATTCCAGCACTCAGGAGCAGAGCCAGGCAGATCTCTGTGAGTTTGGGGCCAGACTGGTCTATAAAGCAAGTTCTAGGACAGCCAGGGTCACACAGAGAAACCCGGTCTCAGTAAAAAAAAAAAAAAAAAAAAAAGTAAACAAATAAATAAAGGTAATAATAATAATAAACTAAGATGGAGAGTAACTGAGGAAGACTCCTGATGCCAACCTTAACCTCCCATGCATGCACATGTACACACACGCTCACATACACACACACGAACAATCTGAAAGCACACCACACAAAACATTTTACTCAGTATTTAGCAAAAATGCACCAAGAATGCTTAAAAGTAGGGGCCTGGAGAGATGTCTCAGTGGTTAAGAACACTGACTGCTCTTCCAAAGGACACAAGTTTGATTCCCAGCATCCACATGGCAGCTCACAACTGTCTTTAACTTCAGTTCCAGGGACTCCAACACCATCTTCTGGTCTCCTTGGGTACCAGGCACATGTATGATACACAGATATGCATGCATGAAAAACACCCATACACATAAAGTTAGTTTTTTTTTTTTTAAAGAATGCTATTAGCAGTAAATTAAATTGTATGGTGTCTCAGACACTGCCTCAAGACACAGACTAAAAGGAGATATCAGGGTGAGGGTGGAATTGAAAAATGTCAAAGGTGAAGGAAAGAGAAAAAAAAAAAAGATGACAGACATCAGTATCCTGAGTTCAGCTCCCAAATTCAGAACAAGAGACAGAAAACTAAGTTCAAGGTGTGGTGAGCGTGTGTGCGGGAGGCTGGGGCTGGTTACAAAGAGGACCAGTTCAAGGCAATGAGGAGTCTCTGCAGGCTGTACTGAACATGAGGGGGGCATCGCCAGGGTCATGTTCTCAGATGTGTCTGGAACAAAGCAATCAATTTATTGAAACCATGTTCATCCAGTTTAAGGAGCGAGACCAAAGGCAGCAGAACCAAAATGGCCAGGTCTGAGAGCTTCTTGCCACCCGCTCCTGCTGTACCCCTCCCCGACAAATCTCAGGACAAGGGAGATTTAGGAAAAGAGGGTGCTGCAGGGCCACATTACAGGTTTACATCGGATAGCAGCCAGGTCATCCCAAGACTGGGGATGTAGGTCAGTGTGGGCACGTCCCAGTACAAGGTCCTGGCTTCCTTCCCCAGGGAAGAGGAAGAAGGCAGAGAAGAAACACATGTGTGCCTCTGCTCGGCTGGTCCCCAGCACCCCTACAGACATTGGGGACAGGATTAGGGAAGGGTTACAGTCCTACACTACTTATTTCCTCTTGGCTTTGCTAGGGGATGACCAGCTTCTGCCTGGACCTGCCCCTTCAAATCTCACCTCTGTCACTAAGTCTCCAGTATGGAAAACTGGGCTGCCCTGAAATGTACCATTCCTCTCTAAAGAGCAAATGGAGACAGAGTCAGGTGGGGAAATTGGGACAGTGGGGCTGGACTCTCTCCTCTGTGTAGGACAGAGGCCTGGGGTGAGCAAGACCATTGAGAGTCAGGCATGGTGGCGCATGTCTTTAATCCCATCACTTGGGAGGCAGAGGCAGCAAATCTCTGTGCATTGGAGGCCAGCCTGGTCTACGTAGTGTGTTTCAGGATGGCCAGAGCTACATAGTGAAACTCTGTCTCCAAAATACACGCGCGCGCGCGCGCACACACACACACACACACACACACACAGAACCCTCCAAAACAAAAAGATACTTGAAGAGAAGAAAGCACATTGGCTCAGAGACCAACCAATCCTTCAGTCCAGGTGCACACATGAATTCAACCAGATTTATTTTGATTTCTTTACATGTATGAATGTTTTGCCTGCATGTGTAGATGTTCACCACATATGTGTCTGGTACACACAGAGGTCAGTAAAGGGATCAGATTCTCTGGAACTGAAGTTAAAGATGGTTTTCAACCATCATGAGGGTGCTGGGAACCGATGCAACAGCAGTCAGCGATTTTGTCCACCATTCAGATTCTGTGACCACCTACTGCTGCTTTTTGTTTTGTTTTGTCTGTGTAACAAGTCCTACCTGTCCTGGAACTCACTCTGTAGACCAGGCTGGCCTCGAACTCAGAGATCCACTTACCTCTGCCTTCCAAGTGCTGGGATTAAATACATGCACCACCACCGCCAGGCAGTCACCTACTACTTTTTAAAATGGTGGCTAAAGGGTAGAGAGGAGAGGCCAGCTTTGCCTAGAGGCTCTTAAACAAGAGACAGGACAGACCATTACACCCACCACCTGTTGTGGGTTGTCACGCACACACCCTACATTCAGCCAGAGCCTCTGGAGGCCTGAACTTTTGACTCTTATGACACAACCTCCCCCAGGCAGGCTCTAAGTCAGTTGTTCTCAACCTTCCTAACGCCATGACCCTTTAATACAGATCTTCATGTTGTGGTGACCCCCAACCATAAAATTATTTTCACTGCTACTTCGTGACTTTAATTTTGCTGCTGTTATGAATCATAATGTAAATGTCTGTGTTTTCTGATCTTAGGAGACCCCTAGGAAAGGGTCCTTTGACTCCTGTGTTGAGAACCACTTCAAGAGTTGTGAAGGACTCTGTACCTCTGAGGGTCTCCCACTCCCTGAACACAGCAACCCACGCCCTAAAGGACATAGTCCCCACCCATCTCTGCCAGAAGTGGGACAGGCCTCCTGCCCTAGAGCC